GTCCTCTTAACTATTACCACAGTTGTTTTTCTTATCTGTGATATCTGATATCGAGATCCTGCTAACAAAGAGGTTTTGCAACACTACCTCAGGCGACTGCAGTTCAGTGAAGCCACTGATCTAGAAAAAAGACTGGATCGTGACCCAAATTTCGCGGGAAATCCAAATCCGTTATGGACAGCTATGGCTCATCGTGGAACACAGTGTTGCGCCTTTGGTTGTAACAAGAGAAGAAAACGGAAAATAGACGCCAAAACTTTCCGAAGTGATAGTGACGGAATTTCAGACGAAGAATCCGAAATAAAACGCAAATTCAAAAGAACTTTTCACTCGTAAGTAATGATCTCAGTTTGGGTATTTTAGACCCGTTTCATTTAGTCAGATTTTGAAAGAAAATTTTACATTAGGCTTAAACCACACACCCTCCCCCCCCCCTCCCCTTTATATTTCTTTTACTTCTTCGGCATCCTTGATAACGTTTATAAATGAATCTGAAAAGGTCAAATAAATTTATATAAAAATAACAGTTTGTAGAGGGGGGGGGGGGCGGCAAAAATTTCAACATCTTTTGCTCTGAATTTTGAAGAAAAGGAATATCGCAACCTTGGACAAAAGGAATATCGAAATTACACCACGTGGAGCAGACTTTTATTATGGGGATTCAATACTATTTTACTCTTGTTGATATAGTCAAAAAGTCTACATGGTCAACTACAAACGGGAAGATAGAAGTGAATACCCAAAAGCTAAATTCATTTTTGATGGTTAACTCAAGCTCAAAAACAAAATGACTGGCTTTAGAAATTGTAAAATAAAGGGGGGAGAGTACACAGGGCCTGCCCCTTTTGAGAGAAAAACAATCTAAAAAAATCTCTACTGGCTTTGAAAAAAGCAAACATTTTACAACATACTTAAAGCTTTTTCGTCTGACACTCCTCAGAGCATAAAACGTCAGAATAGGTTCCGAAAAACATGTTTGAAAAATATATACCCAGTTGTGGATCGAAATAAGCCAATCAGAAAAACGCAAGCACAAGACCGGTATAGTTGACCAATCAGTGCCGCGAGCCTAAAGAAAAATTACCAATGGAGTCCAAGAGAGAAAACGAACTCCTTTTGTCTACACAATGGCGGCTTTCTCGTTTTTATGTAGATTGACTCCAAAACTGCTAGATGGAAGGACGACCGGGCTCTGCCAATTATCCGAAACATGTCGTCATTATAGAGTTTTGCACAATCTGGGTTGTCCAAAAGATGTTGACCAATGGCAGAATCACTTGTTTTAACAGTGTTTCTCGACCTACAAGATCGAGGAGGCTGTTCTCTTTGAGGGGCAGTTTTGTTTCGTATGTTGGAAGGAACATGCTGTTTTATCCTATCCCCCAATCTTTGGGTTGTGCGCTCTAATCTATTAAAGAATTATGCAATAAAAATAGAATTTTAACAATCAACATTCAATTGCTAAATCTAAGATTTACAAACATACTTTGAATACTTGAAAATCCTTACAAAAGTTGGCTTAAGGTTTGACAAATGAAATCATTTTTAGGTACCACACAACAAAAGAAAAGAGCCCACTGCCAGGATAAAAAGGGTTCCAGATAAAGAAGCTCAAGAAGATGCTGTTTTGATTCCTATGGTACCAACAAAAGATGTCTTGCATGATCATGCTTATGTAATTACTAGTTCACCGAAAAGCCTAAAATCTCAATTGAAAAAAAACAACGAGCAACTAGTGGTTTTGAGGAGAAAATTTAAAACTCAAAGACAAAAGGCCAGAAGATTCAAATCAAAATTAAAATCTTTGAAAAGAGTTATTAAAAAGCTAAAAGAGAAAAAAATGATTTCTAACAACTGTCAAGAACAGCTTGACAAGTCTCTTTCTGGGGTCCCTATGGCACTTTTTGATAGACTCCTTGCAAATAAGAAAGGAAAAGGTCATAAATATCCACCTGAATTGAAGTCATTTGCCATTACGCTTCAGTTTTATTCTTCCAAGGCATATGAATTTGTGCGACAGAAATTGAATCTTGCATTGCCTCACCAAGCTCACATTAGGAGATAATATGCCAAAGTTCCAGCTGCACCAGGATTCACGCAACCAGCATTTGTGGCAATAAAGGCGAAAGCAGATGCAGCTAGAGAGAGCGGTAATAGTGTTGTGTGTGCATTGATGTTGGATGAAATGACTATACGGAAACAGGTCTCTTGGGATGGGAAACAATTTACTTGGTATGTTGACATGGGGAATGGAACACCAGATGATGACTCAGCACCTGTTGCGAAGGATGCTCTTGTTTTGATGACTGTTTGTATAAATGGATCTTGGAAAGTCCCTTGTGGATATTTTTTCATTGATGGGTTGAGTGGTGTTGAAAGAGCTAATCTTGTAAATGTGTGTCTGCAGCGATTATGGGACACCGGAGCAGAGGTGGCATCAGTTACATTTGATGGTCCATCTTGTCATTTTACTATGTCTTCTGAGCTTGGTGCATCACTCAATGTTGAAAATTTGAAGCCTTATTTTCCTCATCCTGTCCAATCTGAGAAGAAGGTAAATATTTATTTGGATGTTTGCCATATGCTGAAATTAGTTCGAAACGGGACGGTGGTATAATGGTTGATACGTGTGGTGAGAAGATTTATTGGAGATACATTGAAAATTTGCACAAACTCCAAGACAAAGAAGGGCTGAGGCTGGGGAATAAAATCAAGATACCACATATTAACTGGCGACAACAACCAATGAAAGTGAACCTTGCTGCTCAAACATTCAGCGCCAGTGTAGCTGATGCCATTGAATACTGTAGGACAGTGTTAAAACTCACACAGTTCCAAGGTTCAGAAGCGACTGTCAAGTTCATTCGTTTGTTTGACAGGTTGTTTGATGTTTTGAATTCAAGAAATCCACTTGGCAAAGGATACAAATCAGCTCTCCGAATTGCTAATAAAAACCAAAGGATACAAATCTCCGAATTGCTAATAAAAACCAATGGTATCCATTTCTTGAGCATGCATACTGCTACATTTACAGTCTCAAAGACACCACAGGAAAGCCAATGTACCAAACAAGAAGGAAGACAGGGTTTATTGGATTTTTGCTAGCCATACGCAGCACACAAAATCTGTTTGCTTCTTTCGTTGAAAGACAGGAAGCACGACTGAAGTACATTTTGACATACAAATTGAGTCAGGATCATTTAGAGCTTTTCTTTGCGGCCATTCGTTCAGCAGGTGGGTTTAACAACAACCTAACTACTCAGCAATTTACTGCTGCCTATAAAAGGCTGTTAATGAGAAGTAGCATCCAGGGGGGAAACGGAAACTGTCAAAGCCAAGACCTGACAGACATTCCCTATGTGGTGAGTGACAACTGCACAATAGGTGATCAAGAAACATCTCAGAAACATCCTTGATGAGGAAATATGACTTATCTGACAGGCAAACACCGCTGAATTTTGACCATGATTACTGCATTAGAAGCATATCAAAGCTTTCTGAGTACAAAAGGGCTGCTATCTCCTACATTGCTGGGTTTGTTGCTCACATGGTGGCAAAAAAGCTTTGTTGTTTGACATGTTGTAGTGCACTTGGATCCAGTAGTCATACACCAACATCATCCTTTCTTGCCCTGAAAGACAGAGGAGGCCTATTTAAGCCAACAAAAAGTGTGGTTGCTGTTTGTGAAGAAACAGAAAGATGTTTCCAAAGAATGTTAACCACAACTAAAGGTGAGCTCCCTCGTCTTAAAGGCATTCCTGCTGCGATTTCAGTATCAGTGTTACAAGATATCAACTTATCAAAAACCTTTAAAGAGCTGAATGACCACATGCTTGAAACTGCAGTCACAGATAATCATCTGTTCTCGCTTATCAAGAATATTTCACAGGCGTACTGCAAAATCAGACTGTTCCATATGGGAAAGGAGACAACTAACAAGCTTTTTGGAGCTAAAATACGTAAAAAGCTAAGCAAGTTAGTCCTCTTTAAGCATCAGCAAGCCCCTTTCTCTCTAGAAAAATACCCCTTCTATTCCAGTGGTCATGGCAAAAGATGCCACCTCAGTATGGTTGTACCCAACCATCACAAATAGCCTTATTGAAATTTTAAATACAAAATACTACCTATTTCTCGTGCATATAGAGAGAAGGAAACCCCTTCTATCCCAGTGGTCATGGCAAAAGATGCCACCTCGGTATGGTTGTACCCAACCACAACAAATAGCCTTATTGAGATTTTGAATACAAAATACTACCTATTTCTCGTGCATATAGAGAGAAGGAAACAACAAATTTTATGACCACTCCCTTTAGATTATCTGAAAACGACTTTAATTTCATGCGAATCTCAGATAAAATTTCTAACTAGCACAAACTTTTAAATAGAGCTAGTAGCAATTTAGAGATTATAAAAATTTTGTTAAAATAACTGCTTGAAACTGAACTTTAGTTGACGGAATTCTTTCTCAACAGAAACACGCAACTAACTCGGAATTTTCAAATAATAAACTAAACTGAATCTTTTATCTTTTCACGGGAGTAAAATTTCATGACGTATAAATGACAAGTCACGAAAGAATGGAATTTCACACTAAACGTTTTTGTTGTATTAGCCGACTACTAAAGCGACATGTGCCCTTTAATCAAATTCATGCCTTTGAAAGTTTCCTTTGCGGTGGTTTTTCGCGGAAATAGCAGTTTGTTCGTCGGTTGAAGTGTCATTGTCATCAGTTTCAAAAACTCACCTATGTAATCGTAATACTAAAAAATGCTAATGGTCCGAATTCAATCAACACATGCTGCATTTGTGAATAGCTTTTATTTTCTCTTAGATGAAGGAAGACAAACAGTAGTTTG